AATCATTTCAATATCTGAAAAAGGCTGGACTGAAAGCTACAGAAACTGAAGGCATACAACTATGAAAACAAAGCAAGTGCAACAATGTTTGGTTCATCTAGGGGTCCTGCCCTCAGCATGGAGCTTGGTATAAGGCTCCGAAATGACTTAAATGAAGCCATTCCTACATTTAGGAATTTCAGTAAGACAAGGGCCTCACTTCACATAATCCTCCTCCTCCTCCTCCTCCAATTCCAAGTATTGTCAAAGGTAGGTCTACTGATATAGGACACATCTAGAAATAAAAGATATGGGGGCCTGGTGTGGCCTCCTGCCTGTAATCCCAGCACTTTTGGAGGCCGAGGTAGGCGGATCACTTGAGATCAGGAGTTGGAGATCAGCCTGATCAACATGGTGAAACCCCATCTCTTCTAAAAATACACACAACACACACACACACACACACACACACACACACACTCACTTGCTGGGTATAGTGGGACATGCCTATAGTACCAGCTACTTGGGAGACTGAGGCAGGAGAACTGCTTAAATCCAGGAGGTGGAGGCTGCAGAGAGCCCAGATTGCACTGCTATATCCAGCCTGGGAAACAGAGCAAAAACAAACAAACAAACAAAAAAGACATAGGGCCAGGCACCTGGCTCAGCACTTTGGAAGGCCAAGGTGGGAGGATCACTTGAGGACAGGAGTTCAAGACCAGCTTGGCCAACATGGTGAAACCCCATCTCTACTAAAAATACAAAAATTAAACAGGTATAGTGGTGCCCCCGCTGTAGTCCCAGCTACTGGCTAGGCTGAGAAATGAGAATACCTGGAACCAGGGAGGCGGAGGTGGCAGTGAGGCGAGATCACACCACTGCACTCCAACCTGGGTAACAGTGAGATTATATCTCAAGAAAAAAAAGAAAAAGGCCAGGTGTGGTAGCTTGGACCTCTAATCCAAGCACTTTGGGAGGCCGAGGTGGGGCAGATCACGCAATCAAGAGTTTGAGACCAGCCTGGCCAACGTAGTGAAACCCATCTGTATTAAAGATACAAAAAATTAGCCGGGCATGTTGGTGGGCAGCTGTAGTCCCTGCTACTCAGGAGGCTAAGGCAGGAGAATTGCTTGAACTCAGGAGGTGGAGATTGCAGTGAGTCATGATTGTGCCACTGCACTCCAGCCTGGGCGACAGTGCGAGATTCCGGCTCAAAAAAAAAAAAAAAAGGGAAAGGAAGGAAAGACATCAATTAGCTTATTGCAGTTCTGGGACAACTGGTTAATGGTAAAATAATGAAGACAACCTCAAAAAATTGAGGTCTACTTTTATGCAGCTCTGAAGATCTAGCTAAGGATTCTAGGGATTTACTAGTAAAATACCCTGAAGTGACAATGGCCAAAAAAGTCCCTTTAAGGCAAAAGGACTTTATGTTGATCATTTACCTAGTCAATAACACACTGAAGTTTAACGTATCCCAAATGCCCTGAAAGACAGAAAAGAGAAAATGGCCAATTTTCTTCATGCAACTTTAACGGCACTTATTTACTCAAATTTCTGGAGCAATGAACTGTAACTTTTAAGGAACTATGAGGAGGTTAATGGAACATTTTCCCCTGGCCTTTCATTTCTTAACATCCCTCCTCTATTTGTTCCTGTAACTTATTTTTTTAACTGTTCCAAAGCAATCAAAATATGGCTACTGTATTTTTCCATTAGATTTGCCCTAGAATCACAGAATGCTAGCTAGCACCAAACACAGTGATCCCAAGATTATTTTGTTGATTGTTTAATTGAAGACAACTGGGTACTAGCACAAGGATTAAAAGACCTGATTTCTACATCTGGCCATAGCAGCCAGTCAAAATCACTTCTTAAATTTTCTTGCTGCTGCTTGATTAATAAGACCATATTTAGTGAGATCTTCTTAAGCACAAAAGAAGAGAAGGCAAAGTTATGCTTTGTCATTCCGAATAGGAATCAAATAACATAAGGAAAACACATGCCACTTTAAGGCACACGTTCAAAATGACACCCCACACATTCCACCCACTTAACCAAGACAGCCATGTCCGAATTCATTTGTGCCAGGACAAGTTGGTACAGAATCAGCACAGATGAGCCAAAGGCTGTGATTTAAGGGCCATGTGACAATCATGCTCTTCTTCCATTAACAATGAAAGAAATGCACTTCACACACTCTAACTGTGCTCCATTATGGAAGGCACCCAAAAATCATCTCACTAGAACAAACGAAATTCAAGATGTTCTAAGCTAGCTATGACAACCTCAGCAGTGCTTACTATAAAGCAAATAGAATACTTAAACACAAAGCAAATAAGTTAATTTGTACCCAGAATATTTTAATAAAATATAAATATAAAATATAAACATGACAAGCTATCAAAACAAAGACCCAAGGAACCACCGTGCAACCAAGATGTAGTTGTTGAATAGCATATTTGCCTTCCTATCACATTAGCAAATATAGTAAAAAGAAAAAAAACCTCAAATTTTAATTATATGAAAAACCAAATTCAAACATGAATCAAACAATAAAATGTTAAATGAGGGCCTTTACTATAATAACCCTAAAGACAGTCAAAGTGCAGCCTAAAAGTGTTCTGGAGTTCATCTGAACTGAAATTCCAAAGCTGGTTAACTCAGAGCAGTCCCTCTTTTGGAGTTGGATTAGAACCAACAGTATTTTAATTGCCTCCAGGTTTCAGGGACAGTCTGACCAGAGGGAAATAGAATGAATACTCCTGGCTCAGCCATGAACTGGTCTGATCTCTCTGCTATGGTAAATAGTGACTAACCCAAATGCTTATTATGTTCATTTCCTATCTTTTTTTCCCACTACTCCTGCAAGGAAGCACTGCTAAACAGAGGCTCCTGGATTTATTAATATTATCCGTGAAAGTTCATAAAATAAGCCAAAGAGTGTCATCTACTACTTAAGCCCCAACACTACTCCACTCCCACCCCTAAATTCTCCTTTCCTCTCTTTTGTACCCAGTAGCCCTTTTCTGGTCTTTCTCCTCTCTTCCCCCAGCAATTCCAACTGGATATTTTCCTCTCAAACTTAACTGTGGAACACAGTTATTTCATCATCAAAATAGAATGAAAATTCAAAGTTAACTAATAATTTTTCAACCTAAAAGTTTTCTTCCTGTTCTTTTATTTCTCACACCCAAGAGACTGATCATAACCAATGGACAAGTAGCAAAAGCATACTAACAGGAACTAGCCAAAATATCTATCATGCTTCGATAGCTTAACTTTCTTTGTAAGATTGTTTGCTGTTATGATTTTAAGCTGCATTTATAAAACACCTTTCCTGCTAGGAAAAGTATTCCCAGTTCTTAAGACAGACTTGCATTTACCCACAATTCATAGCATGGCACAAATAGCTCCCTAGCATCTGAGTGTTACACCTCCCACACAGGCCACAGTATAAACTTTATTGGGGTATTTCAATTTTTAACCTAACAAAAAAATGTGGAATAACACGTTGTCTCCCTGCCGAGGAATTATCTAGAATAAACAGATGGGTGTGAGATCTGTGGAGAGAGGGAGTTGTCTCTCGATCCAGAAATCACAGTTTGAGTTTAGAGGCAAAAAGTGCTTCCCCACCCCCACCCCAGACGAAGCCCTGCTGTTACCCACGCTGGAGGGCAGTGATGCGAATCTTGGCCCACTGCTACCTCCACCTCCTGAGTTCAAGCAATTCTCCTGCCTCAGCCTCCCGAGTAGCTGGGATTACAGGCGTCCACCACCACGCCCAGCTAACATTCTGTATTTTTAGTAGAGACGGGGTTTCACCATGTTGGCCAGGATAGTCTCGATGTGTTGACCTGGTGATCCACCTGCCTTGGCCTCCCGAAGTGCTGAGATTACAGGCGTGAGCCACCGCGCCCGGCCGACAAAGTGCTTTATGTGCAGGGAGGGCACAGTTTAAGACTATCTATTGGGCCAGCGCGGTGGCTCACGCCTATAATCCCAGCACTTTGGGAGGCCGAGGCGGGTGGATAACGAGGTCAAGAGATCGAGACCATCCTGGTCAACAAGGTGAAATCCCGTCTCTACTAAAAATACAAAAATTAGCTGGGCATGGTGGTGCGCGCCTGTAGTCCCAGCTACTCCGGAGGCTGAGGCAGGAGAATTGCTTGAACCCAGGAGGCGGAGGTTGCGGTGAGCCGAGATCATGCCATTGCACTCCAGCCTGGGTAACAACAGCGAAACTCCTTCTCAAAAAAAAAAAAAGACTATCTGTTGCAACGAAAATACAAACAGAGGGTAAATCAAGAGCCAAAGCAAAGTTTCCCCATGAGATTACCTGGAATCTACAGTCTCAGAACTACAGATTAACAAATGTAATCAATGGTACTGGGGTTTTCACAGTTTTGATGACGACAGCAGGACCTCAGAGTCTAAAGGGACACTATTCCCAAAGTTCTAGTTAACGTCGCAAAAATCTAACCTAATTCTTACAGGTTCAAATATTGAGGCTGCTGGTTTGTGTAAACCGGACAAAATCCCTTACAGGCTCTAAATTACGCCACGAGTCACGATGACAGAGGGTTCTCCTGGAATTTCTTACAAGGCCTGAGTCCCATCGGGATTGAAGTCATTTTGCCAACAGCAGCCCACCATCCTTAGGCCAAATTTACAATCTATTTTGAATCTGCACCTTTCTGGGTGTGTTAAAGATTACAAGATTACGTGAACAACGGCCTCCATGCCTTCGATATCTATTTCTACAATGTTGATTTTTTACTGTCTTGCTCTCCCCACTCGGTCTTCCTCCCATACCAACCTAAACCTCTATTTTATAACCCGACAAATCAAATTCAGGATAGGGGCAAACAACAATGCGGTTTGCTCAAGCAGGTTCAATCGACTGCACCACCAATTAAAAGACCAGCGGGTAAACAAGGGCCGCCGACCACAGGGCAGGCCCCAGGGTTCACACGCCCCCGCCACCGCACGGCCCAGAACAAGCTCGCCGCAGCACCCACCTCTGCAACTCCTCCTCCTGGATCCTCTCCTCATCCCACACGAAGACGCCGGAGAGCGCCGCCATCAAGGCAGAGGCATGGCCAGGGCGGCCGTGGAGCCGGCGCCAGAGGCGGGCGAGGAGGACGCGGCGTGAGCTCTCGGAGTAGAGACGTCCGTAGAGCTGTGCGATCTGCAGCGCGCGCCGCACGCGCAGGCCCGTGACGAAGCGGCACTGATTGGCCAGCAGCGCCAGCAAGCCCCCGCCCCGCACCCCCGCCAGCCAGGCGACCAGCAGCCTCTGCGGGAACATGCCGCCTCCTGCGGGGCCCGCCACAAGCCTCCGGGACCCAAGGAAGTAGCCCGGGAGGGCGCAGGCGGTCGTCCGCAGCGTGCCCCTAACTGGCCGACCACGAACCCGTCTTACGGTCCCGCGGCCAGGAGCCGCCGCTCATCTCTCCCTGCAGCCACCGCTGAGGAAGAGTCTCCTCTGAGAAGAGAGTCGGTCATGGCAGCAGACGCCAGGACGGCTCCGCGACCGCTGCACCGGGCGCTCCTGGGCTCAGGCCGCAGATCAGTAGGTTGTCTCACTCCTCAGCGACCTGCGGCGGACGCCGGGGGCCGGGATGCAGGGCGGGCGGACCGCAGCGAGGCGGACAGCTCAGGGCTGGCAGCAGAAAGGCTCCCGCGCGTTCCCTGTGTGCCCGCGCGCACCCTACCCTGTCTCCCCCGCCTGGGCCCTGATTGGGCGCGACCCGGACTCCTGGGTGTTCATTGGAGCGGCCAAGTGCTCGTCATCGCTCCCTCCTGCCCCTTCATGCTACGCTCTGAGGCCGCCTACTAGCAAGGTAGGTGGCCCGGCCGGGAGAGCCGTCAAGGGCGCCTTGGCGAGTGACCCTCGGACCCGCCGCCGCCGCCATTTTCCGGCCGTCCCAGCCCCGCCCCGAGGAGAGACCCGCCGGGTACCTGTTAAGAATCCTGCGCGTTGTTGACTTGTTTTAAGAGGCGGGAACACTAGCCACATTCTCTTAATAAGAGTGTAGGGTTGGGGCGGGGCTCTGCATGTCTGCGGAGGCTGGGGGCTCCCGGTGAGACCGCCACTGCAGAGTTATAACTGAGACAGTGAAAGAGATCTGATCTAACCAGTTTCATCTTGCTTCTGCCCTCGTTCATTCCTGGGCAAAGGCTAAACTAACTTTGGGAGGAATTTAGTTTATAGTTTAAAACAAAGAGGACAACAGCCCTTTCCCAAAACAAGTCTCCTTGCCTGGAGACTAGACTGCCTTTGTAGAACTAATAAATTAGCCACAAGATTAGAGATTATGGTTTAGGAGTCATGCAGCTGGAGGCTACAAGATTCTGACCCTCCCTAAACTGCTCCTAAGATCTGTACTGGAGATATTCTGCTGACCCTGCATTTGATGGATCGGCTGGCATCACCCAGATCAATAAACTGGTTAGTCTGAACTTGTGGCCCCCACCCAGGAACCCATGAACCAAATCAGTGCAAGAGGACAGCTTCAGTTCCCTTTGAATTCATCTCCAACCCAACCAGTCAGCAGTCTGGACTCACTGGCCTTCCCCCACCCACCAGATTATCCTTAAAAACTCTGATCCCGAATGCTCAGGGAGACTGATTTGAGTAATGATGAAACTCCAGTCTCCCTCACAGCGGGCTCTGCATCAGTTACTCTTTATTGCAGTTCCTCTGTCTTGAAAAATCGGTTGTCTAGGTACTGGGCAAGGTGAACCAGTTGTATGATTACAAATTTGGGGGTTCCTCTGGGATAGCCCTTGCAGCTACCTGCCCATGATTCGGTAGCCCCCCTCTGGCGACATATGCAAAAGCCAGCCCAAGCAGCCACACAGTTATCTTGGACTAGGGGCTGACTCGCACCACCTCTGCTAGTGGGGAACTGCCGAACCAATGTGCATGGACTTAATTGCAATGGAGAATGGTCGTGGGGAGACATCCCATAACTGTAGCCATATCACAGGTGTCCGTCTGTTGCTCCATGGTGGGGTGCTGGAACCAGGTCATAGAGTGTCTGTAGCTATAGCCCCATCACAGGTGTCGGGTAGTGTGTATCGTAGGTGCTGCCAATGCCTCCTTTCTTCTCCCGACTGTTTCTGTAGCCACATGGTGGGGTGTCTGTAGCTCCACCATGGGGTGTCTGTCGCGGTTTGGCTCCTGGGGCGTCTCAGTTGGCTCTGCCTAAGTAGGAAGAGTCTTGGTTCATGAGACTTGTCAATCAGGAAGATTTCAGGGAGATTTGTCAGATGGAGAATAGGAGGATAGTTTAGAAGGGATAGTCTTGGAGTTCTTGGTTAGGGATCTTAATTTGGAAGGCCTTCTGTCTTGTCTTTGTGTGTGTGTTTCTATATTTGGAGGGGATCTCTGAAGGAATTGCTGACGGAAGTCCAGCAGGCCTACCTTGGAGAATACTTGTTATTTATCTGGTAACATTCCGTTAGCTCTGAAAGAAGTTTAACAGGCCTGATTTGGGATGACTGCTCTTCATCTTGCCTAGAGACCACCCACTGAATTCTCAGTCTGAGGTCACCCCTCCCCACCTTGAGTGTATCAAAGATGGCAGGGACTAACAGCAAAAATTTGAGCCTTGCCGAGTCGATGTTGGGTGCTGAATGAGGTGAAGAATGTCTGTTTTGTTATGTGTATTTTGCTCTGGTTGGGATGAAAAATGTTAATTCAGCTCCCCATGCAGCCCATTGGGGAGCATCTTGCAAAATTGAGAATCTTTTTATGGTTCCATAAAACAGAAAAGGGTGATTGTCTTTTGTAAAATGGTTTGACCCCCATAGCTATGGCACAGCGAGAAAGGTCTTCTGTTGTTCCAGAAGCTGCAGAGAAAGGGAACCCAGAAACCTAGTATGCTGACAGAAAGGGTAAGAAATTCTTACCACCCAAGTTTCTGCTTTCTCTCTCTCTCTCTGTGTAAATGGTAAATGTCACTGTTTGCCTCCTCTGCAAGAGTTTAATTAATAGAAAAAAAGTATTTGTGAGACTACGGTAGTAAATTTGGTGCACTTTCTGTAGTGGAGAGAAGGGTATCAAAGGATAGAACATGGGTTTAGGACCTCTATAAGGCCACATTTCAAGCCATCCCTGTCGGCTGGTTGGTTACAAACTTTGCTGCAGATCCCTGAAACCAATACCAAATGAAATTTCTGTCTTGTTTTGTGTCCTTAAGAGCATAACCTCATGACCATGTGGGGATACTTTCTCTTGGTCTCCACCATCCAAGGACAGGAAATTTGGGGTTCATGTCATAGCCCTAAAAATTATCTCAAGCAGTTAAAGGCCTTTGCAAGTTTGAAATCGGCTGCTCTAGACTTCTTTTGGGAAAAGCAATAGAAACTGCTCAATGCTGTGTAACTCAGTTAACTAAGGCTTTATCTTTTGACATTATTGACCCGAGTTCAATTCTTGGCTTCAGGAATGATGCCTTTCTGGTTTGTTTTTTGTGTAACTTTGCCATTTATTGGGGGAAAAATGGCTGGTTTCTCATTTCCTGTCTTGACTGTCTTGGATTTTCCTTTCTCTGAACTACCCTCGGAGAGATTCTAAATCTTGTAAAAACAAACAGAAAACAACAACAACAACAAAACCTGCTTACCATCTCTTTGAAACACCTTATACGTCCATGGTTAAATTATAACCTTAGTTAAAACTTATAAATTTCATGTGGAATACCTATGGTAGAATTCAGAAGCCAGAAATATTGGCTGTCCTGGCTAGAGTCTGGTAATAAGAGATTTAAAAGGATTTTTTCTTAGAAAAAAGAGGTCTATAGTTAAAATCAGCTTAATATCTATCTATCTATCTATCTATCTATATCTATCTATCTATCTATCTAATCTGTCTCTCTATCAATCTATCTAGATATCTCCCCAAGCTGTACAAATATTTAAAAGGCCTTTATGTTTTTTCTCTTCTTGGATCTTATTTTTCTGAAGAATAAAGAGGGTTTTTTTCTTTCTCTGTCAACTCAATTGTTTTTCTCCATTTTATGTTGTTGCCACTCGATGTCAACATGAGAGAACCTAAGATAAATTCTAACAGCCTGGGATTCCTGGGAAAAAGCAGAGGAGGCAACCAGAAACCTGTTTTTCTCATGGAACGCTAGAAATTGAAGGGAAAAAAAATAGATTTCTCTCAAAATCTAAGGCTCTGTTCCATTGTGCATTGTGTTATCTGATGGCTTTTACTTTTGGGGGTATTAAAAATTACTTTGCATTATGGAAGAGCTTTTAGTCTTGCTGTGTAATAACTAGGTAGGAAATATACTTTAAGGGATGGCTAATGGCAGTTATGGAGGGATATTGGCTCTTTGCATGCTTGGATCAGAGAAGCATGCTGTTGGCTACCTGGAAGATATGGAAGCATCCCCACTCCACCCCTCACTGAGAGATGAGACCCCAGTAGGGGATGGGCTGATTACCAAATGGGGGCTGATTGGCTTTAGGTTGCCTTGCAATCAAATGCACGGTAGGAGCATTGTATGATCTTCTCCCATAGTATTTCCTTCCTTTTTGTGGATCCAGGATCCTGTATAAAATGGCACCCTTAATTTTGCCTTCTAGCTGTGCCTGCTTATTAGGCCCTGGAAAACTCAAGGTTTCCTGGCCCTCTTCCTCCAAGTGTTCCACCCTGAAGCCAGTAATCCAATTAAGAAACTGGCAAATAAAAAGTCTTAACAACTACTGGATCTTCTATCTGTCTGTATATTGAATGTGTTGTGTATGTAATGTTTATACATAAAAGAACTCTGATCAATTGGCTTAGAAAAATAGGGGCTTAAATCGTATTTTATCAGAAAAAATAGAAGGCTTTTGTTCACATGACTTGAGTAATCTTTTGGAAACAGATTTTAAAATTATTGGTGAAAGAAAAATGTCTTGAATTTAGACATTTGGTCTAAATTAAGGTCAGATATCAGATTTGCTAAATGCTTTAAAGTTATAAACTGCCTCTTTGACTTTTGAAAATTGTTCAATTTATCTACTTTGGAGCATAGATTATAGACAAGGCCTGGGGACTGTGGAGAGCCATGCCTCCTAGCTATGCTGAAAAGAGTGAGACCTTATCTGCACTTCTGTCAGATGTTTTAGGCTCCATCCCTAGTACATAATTAAAATCACTTACTTATCAGGTTTTTCACCAAAATTAAAGTTGCTAAGAGTTGACATTGTAACATGTAGTTAAGAGACTGGAGAAACAGTTTTATATACTACATTGCAAGGTATAGAAGGAAAGTAGAATGTGGTTTTGGTGGGAGATTATAAGAAGGCATGGAAATATGGTTTTTGTTAAAGGGAATGTAATTTTGTCTAGTTCAGAGAGTTTTAAAGATTGTCTTAACCTAAAAGAGTAATGGGACAAAAATGAAGGTTTAAGCAAGTTGAAAAGGGTTTGCGAAGGGTTAATCTTGTGAAAAAGTTCTGTGGGTATATGTAAGTTGGCTAAGATTTAACGGGATTTATTTAGCTTTTTTCCATAGGTTAAAATATTAAAATAGAAGTACACTGATGCGGGGCCAGAATCTGGGCCCATGTGTCTGAATAACAGGGTTTCCTTAAAAATTGATCTGTTGGCTGCGGCTGTAATCCCACCCGCCTTAGCGGGTGGATCATTTGATGTCGGGAGTTTAAGACCAGCCTGTCCAATATGGTGAAACCCCGCCTCTACTAAAAATACAACAATTAGGCCAGGCATGTTGGCTTATGCCTATAATTCCAGCACTGGGAATCGGAGGTGGGCAAATCACCTGAGGTCAGAAGTTTGAGACCAGCCTGGCCAACATGGTGAAACCCCATCTCTACTAAAAATACAAAAATTAGCCAGGCATGGTGGCAGGCACCTGTAATCCTGGCTACTTGGGAGGCTGAGACAGGAGAATCACTTGAACCTGGAGGTGGAGGTTGCAGT